TATGTATTCTTGTCTAATTGTAAAATACATTGGTTCTCTTAAGCCTTAAATAATAAAAAAAAGCTAATGATCACTGTGAACAGTTATGCCATGATTTCCTCCTTATGAAGACCCCTGGAAGAATCTGAGTGCCATGCTAAGGATAAATGTATTGTTTAACAAGTAGCTTCCTTTTATCGCATGAACATTGTGAGTTATGTAACTGGCAGGTTGGTTCCTAAAAAGGGCCAAAATTATGACTCATATTAGCTGATACATGGATCACAATGTACAGATCTTAAGCCTCATTCACATCTCCACTTCGTCATCACCCTTGATTTGTGCGGTTTCCCGCTTCCCGTCTTTGATGTGTCCTTGTAGCCACCTTAGGTTACAAGACAAGGTACAGAGAAAACAAAGCAGAGACAACCATGGGTTAGTCAGCACTCCTGCTGCCCAGTTACCAGTTCTTTCCGTAGCCTGGCCAGCTCCTCCTTCTGCTGCTCTTCCTCCTGCTGCCTGACTTCCTCCAACTTCTGGACTCTCTGGGCTTCTGCCTCAGCCATTTTCTTCTCCATCTCTTGCCGCTCTTTGGCTCTCTTCTCAGTGGCCAGCTGAAAAGGTTCCTGAACTAGTGAAAGACTCTCTGAGTACAGAAACAGAGAGAATATTGGTACACAAGCAGGACTTGCATAAACCGGGCCCCCAGAGAGCCAGCAAGAGGCACCGACATGCATGTCAATAGGACGGCTCAGCACTAAGGGAGCCTTACTGAAAGGTGGAGTCCTAGAAGTTTAACACATGGAAGGGCCCCTGAAAATCACTAATTAGGAGAAAAGCAAGACCCACATAGGCGAAGTAGCTTGCTTAAAACCACATTGTGACTTTAAGACAGATAGATGTAGAAGAATCCCAATTTTCTGACAACCTACCCAGTGCTTAAGGAAGCAAATGTTTTGTAATTAAGGCTTGCTTCAGGGTGAACTCCAGAAAGAGGTCCTGGCTATCCCTCCCACTTCCTGGTACTCTTTAGGTGGGCAAAGCCTGTAACTATTACTGAAATGCCAGCTGCCTCTGCCCAGGATCTTGCTCTGTGAATCTGGCCCCAACATATTCTGAAACTCAACATAGCTGCTGGGTTCAACAAAGGAAAAAGTCTGGGTCAAGGAGAGAAAAAACTAGATTCTCTACAGACAAATGCTTCTGGTTGCCACGGCATTATACGGACACAACTGAGTCCCAGGCAATGCCCCTGGGAAGTCTGACAATGTTGCCCCAATCCCTCAAGAATACATATAATACTACCAGTCATGGATTTTTTCTCTTTCTTGGGAACAAAGGGCTCCTGGAAGATGACAGTGTTTGGACGAGCCTTGAAGCAAGTTGCTTCTTTCTGCTGTTTCAGTTCTTCTTCCAGCTATTAGAAAGAAAGCCTGTCAGATAACATGCCATGACTACCACCTCCATTACTCAAGTACTAGCGTTTCTAACTGTTTCATCAATAAAGACAGCAAATGATTTCATCTAAATCCCAATCAAAACCCCCTTTACAATGAGTAGATCAGAATGACATCTAAACCTACTGAGAATTAGAAAGTATCTTTATGATACATTTGACCCTCGAAAAATATGAAGATTATGGCACCAACACTCCACACAGTTGAAAACCTCATATAACTTTTGACTCCTCCCAAATGTACTTACTATAATAGCCTACTCTCGATTGAAAACCTTACCAATAACACAAATAGTAAATTAACACATATTTTGTATGTTACATATATTAAATACTATATTCTTACAATAAATTAAGCTAGAGAAAATGTTATTAAGAAAACAAGGAAGAGAAAATACATTTACAGTACTTATTGACAAAATCCATGCATAAATGGACCTGTGCAGTTCAAAATAGTACCGTTTCAAGGATCAATTGTAATTTTAAGACCTTATCTTAACACCTACCCCCCAAACAGACATTATATACCCCCAGATGTGATCATCTGTAAAATATTCTCCCTTCCAAGCCCCCTCAAAAAAAAAGAAAGAAAAACCTAACCAGAATTTAATCAAGTCTCTTAATATAACTACTCATCAACAGGAAACACAGGAGACAGAGGAACATATTAAGCAACGCCACAGAATGCAATGACCAAAATCCAGATTATGGAAAACCAGTAAGACAAATAATCCAGTTTATTCAACAAATGAAATGCAAGTTGAGAAGCCTATAGATTAAAAGGGATTTGGATTTATTAAACAACTGTAATATGTGGGCCTTATCTGAATCTTGATTTGAGCGATTCAACTGCTTGAAAAAAATTATGAGATTTGGAGGTATATAAGTGCTGACTATCTGTCATTATTAAGGAATTACTGTTAATGTTTTACTACAATAATAATATTGTGATTATATTTTTTTAATCCTTATATTTTAAAGTTATACACTGAAGTATTTTGGACGAAATCAGTTGAGATGGGCCCTAACCAGTTTGGCTCAGTGGATAGAGCGTCGGCCTGCAGACTGAAAGGTCCCAGGTTTGATTCTGGTCAAGGGCATATACCTTGGTTGCAGGCACATCCCCAGTGGGGGGTGTGCAGGAGGCAGCTGAATCGATGTTTCTCTCCCATCGATGTTTCTAACTCTCTATCCCTCTCCCTTCCTCTCTGTAAAAAATCAATAAAATATATTTTTTTTAAAAAGAAATGAGATGAGGATTTGCTTCAAAGTAACCCTGTGTAGGTAGCAGTATCCAGTGTAGAGATAAGGAGATAGAAGCATAGATAAAGTAAGATTTTCTCTGTTTTGATCACTATAGCACCAGGTTACAGGTTAATGCAAGTTCATTTATAGTATTCTACTTTGTATATGTCTGAAAAACTTGAAAAAAAATTTTATTATGGAAAATAACCCCACAGACATTCTGTGTCACGGACCTTGAAAGAGAGATTTGCTAGTACTTTCAAAGCAACAGTCTCAAGTTTTCCTAGAATATAACAACTACAAGAGGCCTACGCCCACTCAGTCAGGTTAGCAGTCACATTTCTTGGGTTTCAAGAAGGGTGACTTCCTATAAGAAATTAGTCCAGAGCTCCTTTTGGACAGAGTGTAAGATAAGTGACAATATAAAAATACCAACAAACTTAGGGATTCAGGAAAAATTTTTTTCCAGATAGGGCAGAATTAGATTCCAACTAAACCAGCCAACAACCAAATAATTGTTTTTAACTACCTGTCATCAATAAAGAGCAAAGAGCACACTATGCTGACAAAACAGCATACCTTATTGAGAATCTATTCTCGCTATTCTATTTCTTATCAAAGCACCAACAGAAACGAGTGAACATGTAACAAACAAGTCTAATATATAAAGAAACTCCAGATGCAAAGAAAGCCCATCAGTTCTCACATCCCCCAGGTGAGCACTTAGAGCCAGGATCAGCAAACTTCAGCCAGCTTACAACCTCTTTGAGCTAAGAATGGTTTTTACAATTTTAAAGAATTAAAATACACACACACACACACACACACACACACACACACACACACACTATATGACAGATCGTATACAGCCTACAAAACCTAAAATGTATTTACAATCTTTTTTTTTAATAGAAAAAGTTTGCTGACCCGATTTAGAGCAGAGACTCTGAAATAATCCAGAGTGTTAGTTCTGAGATGAATTTCAATGTAGTGGGCCTACCCGTTCTAACAAACCAACAAACAACCATTTACATATTAGCTGCTGTCCCAATGCCTCACCTGGTGCTTCCAAGTCTGTGCCTTTAAAGCACCTCTTTTGTCAGTCTCCAAGCAGAAAGGCTCAGTCTGGGTTACACTCTTCACCTTCTTCTCTGGCAGGTTAACAGTGTCAAAATCAGGCAAAAGATGTGCCTTGAACTTGGGCACCTGATATAAAAGAAAACATTAAGATTTAAGATAAGGCCTTTCTAGCCAGAAAGCAATAGCTATGCCAGAATATTTGGGTGAACCTAAATCTAAAAAAAGAGAAAAGGGCCCCAGCTGGTTTGGCTCAGCGGACAGAGTGTCAGCCTGTGGACTGAAGAGTCCCGGGTTCGATTCTGGTCAAGGGCACATGCCCAGGTTGCGGGCCTGATTCCCAGTAAGGGGTGTGCAGGAGGGCAGCTAATCAATGATTCTCTCTCATCATTGATGTTTCTATCTCTCTCTCTCTCTCCTTCTTCCTGAAATCAATAAAAACATATTAAAAAAAATAGAGAGTAATGGGCTTAAAAGGAACCCAGGTTTTCCTCCCAATACTGGTATTGCCTGCAATGGCAACATAATCATGGGCAAGTCACTTAACACCCTTGAGCCAGAAAGCTTATTAAAATTACTTGCCCTTTTTATACTTCATAAGGTTGTCATGAAGAGATCAAAGGAAGTCAGTGATTTTTATAAAAATGCAACATAAAAGATTATCTTTGAGGGATCAAAGAATAGTGTTAAGCTACTTACAGAAATGAAAACACCTACCTCCATTTTCTGCAGTTCTTTTATTTTCTTCTCCTTCTGTAACTGGCGTTCTTTGTCTCGAGAATCAAATGAGAAAGGGCATATTTCCACAGTCTTTGCCTCTGGGATTTGGGGCTTAAAAGGTACCCCCAAATGTGGCCGAGGTTGAGCTCTTCTTATCACTACCGGCTCCTCTTCCTACAAGAAAAAAACGCAGTTTAAAAACAAGACTGTTCACTCTTACCTCCTCAGAATGGAGAGTCGAAAGACAATATATGACAGAAGTCATTAATTAAGGCAAGTCACTCAACCTCTTAGGTGTCTTAGTTTCCTGTGTAGCAAAGTTACCTACCAACTCACTGGGGTGAGACCAATGTGAAAGTATTTGATAAAGGTCTAACACAATTACTCTTAAAGATGTAAAGTCTTTCACAGGAAGGCTGTAAAAACTAATGAGATCAATCAGTGTGAATAAGATGAAGAACAGAAGACAAACACACCTTGGCCTCCTCTTTGACCCACCCTCCATCTAGACTCCACTAAAACATGTGACTGGGAGTTAATGAGTCGTCAAACCCGGAATAGGACCAAGTAAGTTGTTTGGGTTCAAACTGGTAACGTAAGATTACTGTGTATTTTAGTTTCAAATGAACTCACATAAAATGGCTTATGCTTGAGATCTGCTATGAACTTACCCCAACTCTGGATATCTATATATATATAAAAGGCTAATATGCAAAGCGTCCCCTTGGGAGTTCGACCGGGAGACCAGGAGTTCAATCGTTCACTATGGCATGCGCTGACCACCAAGGGACTGCGTGGAACGAAGAAAGGCCCCAGCCAGCAGCCAGAAGGCCCCGAATGGCCTTGATCGCCAGGCCAGACCTAGGGACCCTACCCATGCCTCTAATAAAACTAGAGGCCCTGTGCACAAGATTCGTGCACTGGAAGGGGGTCGGGGGGAAGAGGGTATCCCTCAGCCTGGCCTGCGCCCTCTCGTAGTCCAGGACCCTTCGGGGGATGTCCGCCTGCCAGCTTAATCTGAATCTGGAAGTCAGACATCTCTCTCTCAGTCCGGGGCTCTTGAAGTCTGGGACCCCTTGCTCCTTACCACCCACCTGTAGCAGAGGCTCCCACCACTGCCACTGCACTCACCAGCTGTGAGTCTGGCTTCTGGCTGAGTGGCGCACCCCCTGTGGGAGCACACTGACCACAAGGGGGCAGTTCCTGCGTTGAGAATCTGCCCCCTGGTGGTTAGTGCATGTCATAGCAACCGGTCGTTCCGTCATTTGGTCGATTTGCATATTAGGCTTCTATTACATAGGATGAAGATGTAACAGGAAACAAGCCTGATCAATGACAGTTTATGTATTCCAGTTTCATGATCCATCATCACACAGTCACCTTTGCAACCCTTGGATTAATGGAGGTAGGACAGGGTGAATGTTAACAGCCTGGTGTTTCTCTTCCTTTCTATACCCCAATCCCTAGGTCTGGTGCAAATTTTAAAGTCCCTCAGTGCCCTGACAGGGTAACTCAGTAGGTTAAAGTGTCGGTCCCAATACACCAAGGTTGCAGGTTCACTCTCCGGTCAGGGCACATACAAAAAGCAACCAATGAATGCATAAATAAGTGGAACAATCACTCTCTCTCTCTCTAAAAACAAACAAACAAACAAATAAATTTTTAAGAAGTCCCTCAGTGAATGGTGACAACTCAGGCAAAATAGAGGGCAGGGATCAGCAACTTTTAATCCATGTTACAATGGTAGGCCAACTGTCAATGTTATACAAACAGACAGGCCTCCAATAAGTTGCAAAGAATTACCACTGCAAGCCAGAAGATTCACACCAATTACTTTGCTCTTGGAGGAGCAAAAGAGGTGATCAAATGTTTATGCCCACTGTTGAAGACAACTCCGGACAAGAGTGACTGCCGTTGAGTTCCATTAAGCTTTAAGAAAGAGTAATGCTTAGATTGATGATGCAGAAGGAAGAAGGAATCCCCATCCCAGGGAATCACCTCATCGTTGATGGGCATTCGGATTCTGTTCTTTAATGCAAACGCCGGTGATCTGGGGACAGTGATTGGAAGTAGTTTCTTTTCAGGAACACCCTGGAAGGAATAAACAACTCCATTAGACATCCCAGGACAATCTCTACTACTTAAGATTAAATCCTTGTCTTAAAGAGAAATTCACAAAACCAGGAATCAAAATAAAGCTAGTGTTTCAGTATGTCGTTATTTACCCAACTAAGACAAAGGATCTGCAGTGGCACTCCAAAGGTGGAATATCACAATAGAAGAGAGGCAATAAGGACATAGTTTGAGTTGTATCTTCAGTAGAAACAGAATTCATCAAAATCTTACTTTTGAATTTATGAAAAATACTACTGACAACAGAAAACAAACTAATGCCAATGTTTTGATGTTTCTCTTCCTTTCTATACCCCAATCCCTCAAAAACAAAATTTTTAAAAATGTTCATTTTATAAGCACTTATACTCTACCACAAATCTGGCAATTAATACTAACTATAAAATATTAGCTCTTGGGCTGTTGTTTTGAATGAAATGTATAACCAGATCAATTAAAAAAATCCTCTCACACATGCTAATGTTGCCCATCAGCTCTCTACTCTGCCTCCTCTCTAAACTCTTCACTGCCTTACCACAGGCCACATCATCAATTGCCTATACCATTCACCAGCCTTCTAAACAGCTTTTCAGCTCATCTCATTCCTCCAATCCATCCTCTGTATATAGTCAGAATTATTTTTTCAAAACACATCTGAAATATTACTTCCTGACTTAAAATTCTTTAATGGCTCCCTCTTACTGTTTACCTACAACAGTGTAACAAATGCCCTGGCATGAAGTACAAGGTACTTTATAATCTGATACCCTGCCTGACTCTCCAGTCTTATCTCTTGACCCTCCTACTCATGAATGAACTACTGGCAACTGCCAAAATTAACACTGGTTCTCACCTCAGTGTCTTTCCTTGTGCACGCTCTCTCAGCTGCTTTGAAGTACTTAACCCTTCTTTGCAAACCTCCACAGAAGCATCTCTTCTTCATAAAGCCTTTCAAGATCCTCAAACTCCCAGAACCTACAGAACTGACGCTCTCTCCCCCTGTGTAGAGTTCTATCACAGTACATACAGAACTTCATTGCACTTGTTTATTTAGATGTTCATCTGCTTGTGTGAGCCTATGAGTGCTCCATGAGTGGGGACTTGCATTTCATCAATCCCTAACCTTGGCAAGTATAAAGCCAAACATTCAGCAAATGTTTGTTGAATGAATATAGTAAGAATAACAGAATTTATACCTTGGACTCAAATTTACATCTTGAGAGACTTCTCCTTAATTCCAACAATGCTGCAACTGCTCAACACATCTTTGGAATATCTTTCTTGAGTGGCTTTCAAAGCCAATTTTGGGACCAAGCAAGGTAGAACTCAATCTTTACTTTTAATTAAACAAAACTGCTTCCAGACCTATTATCTTGGACTACTCTGAAGTTCTAGTTCCCAATGACTTTACACCAGCTTCTAAAAGCAAATTAATCTTTGAAATATGAAGGTTTGCCATCCCAGAAGAGATCCAAAAGACGGTGCCACAGGATCTAAGACAAGAGGCTTTTCCAAAATGTTTTGCACAGTATCAGTCATTGGAAAAAATGTATACCCTCCTATGGTGACCACTACAAGGGGAATGCTCATTCTGATGTGAAAGTTCTTATGTTTCCTAAATAAAGCCAAGATCTCCAGCATAGTGAAATCCAATGTATCTGAGTGACAAAAGTCCATGAAATGGGATTTTCAAATAATGCTTACCATAACCAACAAAATCTGTTGTTGTACAACATCCTAGACATGTGAACACCAGCCTCTTGCCTAAACACACTTATGACATGTGGGACTAAGAACACTGAACAAGAAGCCAGAAATCTGTTTTCACCCAACTCTGATTCCAACTGCTGTAACCTTAGGTGCATCACATAGCCTTCAGACCTCAGATTATTTGTTTTCTTTCCATTAAACAAAGTATTGGAAATAAATATCTGAGGACTCATTTCATTCTAAAATAATGTCTCTTTTCCTATTTTCTCCCTCTCTCTGAATCCACCCACCAGAGAGACATGCATTGTAAAAGAAAAGCAATGGAAACCTCCAACAAGTCAGCCATGAAAGAGATGTTTACCAATGGGATCAATCCTCATAATTAGTTGGGAGAGAGGGAAAGGTGATTTATGAAAATCAACTTCACAGCAACCATCTACCCATACCCCATTCTCCACTGCAATCAAAGCCAACTGGGGGCTCAATCAGAAATAAAGAAAAGAGCCGAAACCGGTTTGGCTCAGTGGATAGAGTGTCGGCCTGCGGACTGAAAGGTCCCAGGTTCCATTCCGGCCAAGGGCGTGTACCTTGGTTGCGGGCACATCCCCAGTGGGAGATGTGCAGGAGGCAGCTGATCCATGTTTCTCTCTCATCGATGTTTCTAGCTCTCTATCTCTCTCCCTTCCTCTCTGTAAAAAGTCAATAAAATATATTTAAAAAAAAAAAAGAAATAAAGAAAAGAAAACTGGGTTTTTAGAAACAAAGTCTTCTTGTTTTGCCATTTTAAGTTTTTTTAGTTATAAATTCCTTAAGGGCAGGGAGGTCGCCAATTGCATTCTCCAAGGAACCTACAGAAGTAATTGTTCAATGAACACAAGGTTGATTAATTTGTTTATATGTCAATCTGCTCTACCAGCCAGACTGAAAGCTTTCAGGACCAAGGCTGTTTCACATTCCATCTCTGAATTCCCAGTGTCTACCACACTAGAAACACAGGCTGGAGCACTTCAGCTTGTACTGTCACTCACTCAGTTATCCACATTGGAGTGCCTATGCTGTGATGCTAGGTTCTAGGGATACGGAAGTGAACAGTACAGATATTCACGGCCCCTACTCTCAGGGAACTCACATTCTAGTGGAAGAAAGAGAATACAAAAGTAATAAATCAATGATTTCCAGGTTTTCACATGTGCTATAAAGAAACCTAGCAGGACTGCGGCTAAAGTATAATGGGGGTGAGCATGTCTCTGTAAGGCAGGATATGCCCCCCAAGTCCCCTAGGGCAAGATCTCAGGCCTGTCCCAGAGCAGTTAGCAAATTACTGTGAAGCAATGTTATTTCAGGGATAAGAGGGGGTAGGGGTGAAAGTGTGCTGGTCTCCCCAAGTCATCCCTAAAATATCACTGCTAAAATTACTCACTGGCCTCACTGACACCATATCCACCTCTGTGGTGCCCCAGCTCTCCCACTAGATGTCGGCACCAAGTTCACATTTCACACCCTGGAGCTCACGGCTTTCATCACTCCACCTCTCTCCCAAGAGCCGTTATTTCATCCCTGCCTCATGGCCCACTGCTGCCCAAGCCCGCTGTCTCCTTGCCACCTAGGCGGGAGTGCCTGAGAAACACCATAAGGAGACAGAGAGGCAGCTTAAGCACCCAGAGGACATGAATGGGGAACAATGGTGGCAGATAAACAAGATGCATTTGGGCTCTGGAAGGCAGGCTCTTCTGTGCTAGTATAAAAGTCCAAGACTAGAATTAAGAGACCTAATCTCAGTTCTGCTAACAACTTCCAAAAATGGGCAAGCCACATTCCTCTTCCAGAGCTTCCCTTTCTAAAAAGCAAAGAAGAGTGAAAGAGAATACATCTAACGTCTCCTATGCTTTGCTTCTCTAGAACCATCAATTAAAGTGAAATCACTGGAAATTTAGAGAGCTGAAAACAGCTAGCATCAAACTCAAAAACTGTGTTTGCCAAAATTAACAATGATAACAGCATTGTGGGGCAGCATGACAGTGCTTAAGAAGATGACCATTCAGTCCAGCCGGTGTGGCTCAGTTGACCTATGAACCAGGAGGTCACAGTTCAATTCCTGGTAAAGGCACATGCCCAGGTTGTGAGCTCGATCCCCAATAGGGGGTATGCAGGAGGCAGCCAACAATGATTCTCTCTCATCATTGTTGTTTCTATCTCTCTCTCCCTCTCATTTCCTCTCTGAAATCAATAAATATATATATTTTAAAAATATGACAGTTCAAATCCTGGTTCTGCATACTAGACACCTCTTAGTGTCTCTTTCCTCACCTAAAAAGTGGAACCTACCTCTGAAAGAGTTATGACAAATAAGATAATCGACATAAAACACTCAGGAAAAAAAACAGTACAATGTATGCATGCAATAAAACATTATTATTAACAATATGACTGCTTTAGTGTGTCAGACACTAAATTCTTCACTGGGCTCTAATCTTTGCTGCACCTAACAAATAAAAAGCTCCAGGGGTGGGGCCCAGGAATCTGTTTACGTAATAAGATCCCCAGAGGATTCTGAGAACTAGCTGGATTTGGCAAACACTCTCCTGCAGCATAGCACTTCAATTCAGTTGCATACTTGCTTAACCTAGTGCTTTGCTGATTTGTTTATCCAGAATTCTCAACAAGGCATAACCTGGTACAACACTACTCTAAGATCTCAACTAACTCCTAATGAACTAGTCAACCTCCTCCAATTAACACTTCTCCCGAGTTATCGCCAAAGCACAACAAACGGCCAAACCAATTTCCTAAATCAATGTTTCTAAAAGTGGAGTTCAGGTATGACTGGTGATATGGAAGAGGATGTTAGATGGGATATAGTCATTTTTTTATTTTTAATAATTACATATTTTCCTTAAGAACCTTCTATTTTATTCAAGAACTAGAGGCTCAGTGCACGGATTCGTGTACTGGTGGGGTCCCTCAGCCTGGCCTGCACCTTCTTGCAATCCGGGACCCCTCGGGGGATGTCAGACTGCCGGTTTTGGCTGGAATCCCGCAGGCCAGGCCTGTGGGGGTTGGGCCAAAACCCGCAGTCCGACATCCCCTGAGGAATGTAGTAGTGCGCAAATCGGCAGGTGGCGGGGGAGGAGCCCAAGCCCAGGCCTGCCACTCCGCTCATCCTGGCCCCACGCTGCACCTACTGCCGCTGCCTCTTGGCAGTGCTGCACAAAGGCAGGAGAAGCTCAAACGGCCACAGCTGCGCTCACCATCCATGAGCCCGGCTTCTGGAACCCGGATCCCTTAGGTCAGTGGTTCTCAACCTTCCTAATGCCACGACCTTTTAATTCAGTTCCTCATGTTGTGGTGACTCCCAATTTCATTGTTACAAATTGAACATAATCAAAGCATAGTGATTAATCACAAAAACAATATGTAATTATATATGTGTTTTCCGATAATCTTAGGCGACCCCTGTGAAAAGGTCGTTTGACCCCCAAAGGGGCCGCGACCCACAGGTTGAGAACCACTGCCTTAGGGTTTTATGTATATAGATGCTCCAAGAGTATGGACCCTGGAACCATACTACCTAGATTCATATCTTAGCTCTGGCACTGACTAGTTTATTATCTAGGGCAAGTTATTTAACTTCTATATTTCCTAACCATAAAATGGATGGATAATACTACCAATAATGTTTACCACATACAGTTATTATGAGAATTAAGTATTATATAAAGAGTTTAGAATAAAACATGGCTCATAATAAGCTGTATATTAGTAGCTACTATTGCTAATCATGGCAAAAAGTACTGGTTTTCCATTTACATGATGATTTAAATGTTTCCTTTAAAATCACTTTAAAAATGAGTTGATTTTGCCCTACCTGGTTTGGTTTAGTGGATAGAGCGCTGGCCTGCAGACTGAAGGGTCCCAGGTTCGATTTCGGTCAAGGGCATATACCTTGGTTGCAAGTACATCCCCAGTAGGGGGCGTGCAGGAGGCAGCTGGTTGATGTTTCTCTCTCATTAATGTTTCTAACTCTATCCCTCTCGCTTTCTCTCTGTACAAATCAATAAAATGTATCTTTTTTTAAATGAGCTGATTTTAAGAATATATAAAGTCAACACTAGTGTATGAGATATAAGGATATAGCAAAAATTGAAAGGGTAGGATATGAATTAAATAAAAAAACAAAAACTTGTGGCAGGGGAGGAAAACCAGGAGCTTAGGAGAAGATGTTATTAAAAGCAAGGTACCAAATGAATGTTATAGAAGCCTTGAGAAAGTCGTTTTCTTCTCTAGGCCTCAGTTTTCTAATGTGTGAATGAAAACACTGAGCGAGCCCATCTGGTGCTAAGATTCTGAAGTCTGCATATAAACCTGCATTTCCCCTGCTCTATTCAGAACACTGTTTGCTCAGCAGTTAATGACCACGGTGGCACAGCTCTTACAGACTAGTCCTTGGGTTGGAAAATTTTCTTTAAAGTTTGTGAAACACTGCTAGTGGGAATGCAAACTGGTGCAGCCATTATGGAAAACAGTATGGAGTTTCCTCAAAAAATTCAATATGAAACTGCCATTTGACCCAGTGATCCCACTTCTAGGAATATATCCTAAGAAACCCAAAACACCAATCAGAAAGAATGTGTGCACCCCTATGTTCATAGCAGCACAATTTACAGTAGCTAAGATCTGGAAACAGCCCAAGTGCCCACCAGCAGATGGGTGGATAAAAAAGCTGTGGTAGATTTATACCATGGAAAAGGGATGGTTTTACTACTCAAAAGTATATATCAAATCTCAGAGGGAAGGCATGGGGGTGGGAGGGAGAGATTAACCAAAGACCTTGTATGCATATATGCATAATTCATGAACACAGACAATAGGTGTGAAGGCTGGGGGCAGGCTGGAGAGGGTCAATGAGGGAAAAAGAGGACATATATAATACTTTCAACAATAAAGAATTATTTAAAAGTAAAATAAAGTTTGTGACAGAGTTTGACATTGTAGTAAACTAGTGGCCTGGTGCACAAAATTTGTGTGTGGGGGGGGGCGAGGAAGGGTGTCCCTCAGCACGGCCTGCACCCTCTCCAATCTGGGACCCCTCGGGGGATGTCCGCCTGCCAATCCCTGCGGGATCGGACCTAAACCAGCAGTTGGACATCCCTCTCGCAATCTGGGACAGCTGGCTCCTAACCACTCACCTGCCTGCCTGCCTGATCACCCTTAACCACTCTGCCTGCTGGCCTGATCACCACTAACTGCTGCACCCTCCCCCCTGGCCTGCTCGCCCCCAACTGCCCCTCGCCTGCTGGCCTGCTCGCCCCCACTGCCCTCCCCTGCCAGCCTGATCACCCCTAACCGCCTCTGCCTTGGCCCCACCACCATTGCTTTGTCCGAAAGGACGTCCAGAAGGTCTTCCGGTCTAATTAGCATATTACCCTTTTATTAGTATAGATAATATAGATGTGCATCATACCAAAAAAAGGAAAAGGAAAAAAATAACAACCACTGTGAGTAGAAAAGAGGTCTCATGCAGAAAGTTCTCAACTGAAAGACATCGCATAGAAAGAGGGGAAGAACCATTTCTAAGCATTATCGTGCTTTTTAAAGCCTGGAAAATATAACTTCAAATTGCTTCTGACTTAGTACTAAGAAACAGAATAAACAAAAGTTGAAGGTAATAAACACTGGTGAACAGTTTCACTTGAAACCACGGTAATGCTAAAGGGTAAACAAGAAAGAGGACAGGGAAACAATGTTCTTAGCACCTGAACATAAGTAGGTCCAAACCAAGGGAAGAGGGTGCTTCTTCATCTGCACGGAAATTCATCTAAAAACCACCTTTGCACTTAAGCCGGTGCTGACCTCCATTACTTATTCTTGGACTGTGGCATCTCTTCCCCACCATCAAAATAAAGTAACCCACTTTTCACATCTAGTTTCCAGTTGCTCCTCTTAATATATAGACTTCCTTTTTCCAGCTTAACTGACCCACTAAGTTTCCAGTAAGCTGTCCTGTTTTCTACCTTCAGGCTTTTTTTGTCACCCCCACTGCCTGGAATGCCTCGTGAGTTCATTTGCATTTCTGTAAGTACAAATTCTACCTTGTAATGGAGAAGCAATATAATGACAGTTTAGGGTCACAGACTCTGGAGCCAGAGTGCCTGAATTATTATCCTTGTTCCACCGTTTACTAACTGAGTGTCCTAGGAATGCTACTTAACCTCTCTGGGCCTCAACTGCCTCATCTCAAACTAGAGATAATTAGACTAAACCACCTGGAGGGGCCATGGGCAACATGAATGGCCTAATATACGAAAAAGGTTTAGGGCAGTGCCTGGCACATACTGAGAGTGCCAGCTACTACAACAGTGACAACATGATGAGGATGACTGTTACTCCATATTGTCAAGGATGAAGTCAAATGCTTCCTCCTCCCAAAATCATTCCCTGAACCTTCCACCTAGGAGAAATCATTATCTCCATTGAATTCCTATCATTCTTCTAACTGCCATCTCTCTGAGAACACTTCTGTCTCATTTTATATCCGTACACATATGTTGTCTCCCTTCTTGGACTTTAAGTTTCCTGAGAACAAAATCTACCTCTGATATGTCTCTCTATCACCTACAACTCCTAATATGACGCCCTGATCATAGTATATATTCAAATATGTATACGTGGGTGGATATTTGGTCATAAGCAGGACAACTCTGTCAGCCTACAGGGCCTCACCCATTCTTACCACAACATCTTCCAGGATCTTGGTCGGGCAAGGTCTGGAATGGAACTCAAAGTGTTCGTCCTCTGATTTCCTCTTCGACTCGCGCTCCTGGATTCTTTTCTCAATTTCCAAATCAAAGCCAACAGGCTGAGTGGGTGGCTTCACAGGCGGTTTCCTGGGCAAGACGGGCCCACCTTCCAGAATTCTGGGATCCAGTTCCCTTGCTTTGAATTTATATCTGTAAAGTGAGAATTTAAATGCCATCGCCCCCAAAATTTTAATAATTAAAAAAATACATAAACAACAAAGTAGGCCAAACAGAAAAACAATAATCATTAAGTTTAGCCATCATGCAGAGCAAAATTTCTCTCCATAGCCATTATTTCTACCTCTAGAGCAAAGAATAAGAAAATCCTCACATTCCCACCACTTTAATGACTGGGGTTTCTCTGCACAGGGGAAGCTCCCCCTTCTCAAAAGTACAAAAAGAAATGGAAAGAGGATATAGAGGATATAGGAGACAAATCCATATTAAGTTCCAGTTTCCTCCCATGAACAATGCCTTGGGTAGCCATGAAAGAGTAGGATCTACCTAAACTAACCTCAGAGGACACTCCCTAACTGGAATCATAACTAAGTTCTCCCACTCCAACCTCTGCATTAGCTTTTTATCAGTTTACACTCCAGGGCATCTCCATATTCCCACTTTCAGGACTAATCATAGAGGCAGGGACACAGCCTACAGAGCTGGCAACTCAAATGCTGTAAATTCCCATGGCATGAAAAATAGCAACTGTCCCCTTATAGAACTGAAAAGAGAGCAGGCGGTTTCTTAAACTCTTCCTCATAACTGCCAGTGGCACTTACTGTTGCAGTTTCTCGAGCTCTTCGGCCTCCAGATCCGCTGCACTTTTGCAGGTCACAGGCCTTGTGCGCTGTTTGGTTTGCAACACAGGAGTCTGTGGTTCTGTGACAATCTTGGCCACAGTAGATTTGCTGGGTAACAGAGCTGTAAACCGAGATCAGAGACATTCACCTGGCTCCTCAAGACCCCACTTACCTGTAGGTGCTAACTCATCTTGGCAACCCAGAGAGGCCCAACCACAGAGTGGTTGGCCCTCCATATTCAGCTCAGTGCACATTAGGCAACCTGACAAATATGCAGTCCCTTCCTTCCTATCACTCTTTACTGAGGAGTATGATTGATGAAGGTAAACTTTTGGCAAACTCCACTATTATCTTCTGAACTTAAAAACCACCCATGTCTGATGAATTCCTTATCACTGCACAGGCCTATACTGCCTTTCTATTGGCAATGCCAACAATTTTGCTTGTAATTGACAAGTAAGATTCTTGCTTATTCCCGCTTTAAAAATAAGGCCTTTCTAAAGACCAAGTAACAATTCCCAATTTTATAAACTCCCTAAAAGCATCTATATCAAAATATCAACACTACCTCGCACAGAAAGTTAAATGGACAAAGTAAACTATGTCAAAGCATCAATATTAAGACCATCACCCAATGTTCCCCCAATAAATTCAATAAAAATAAAAATTTTAAAAAGACCATTGTTACTACTCATAGAAAATACTGATTTGCTGGGTCAGGGGCAACCATGTCAGTTTTATTATGTAGAATGAGTTCTCTAATTTAGAACTTATCACATAAGATAAGAAGGTAGAAACCAAATATATTTCTTTTATAAAGAAGCTAGGCTTCAAGTATATACATAACCATCATTTAGCTATCACTGTAAAAAGTTTTAAATAAAAATTACTTTCTATAATTTGTCAGTACAGAGATTATAAGACCAGGACATATCCAAGTCTAAAAGTCATATATTATTTGAAAAGTCATGTTTAATATTTAAATTTCCATTAGGATTAAAAAAATATATTATTTTCATTAATATAAAATTTGACAAATGAGCAGTATTAAGCTTATCTGGCTACCTGACACAGCACTACACAAATGCCTATGTAAGGGCAGAAAAAACTGAGACCTTCAATGGCAAAATGACCAGATTCTGCTTTATCCATAATGCTAGCTTTATACACTGGACAACTATTTTATACCACTATTTTTAAACTTTTTTACCTTCCTTCTGATAGAAATTCTTTTCATAAAAAATAGAAACTATTAGAATTATCTCATTTGCTCACCACCAAATCTATACACCCACCAGCATTTGCACTCATTCTTCTCACTCTTCCATCCTCCTTTCAAAGAACGAGAGCTATGATAAGTACTCCTCCTCTACCCGCCTGTGCGGGGATTTAACCATTGGTTATCTTCTTTTTCTCCTCTATTTTCAACTTCTCTGCCAGGAACTTCTTAGTACGCAGGCACACTCTACCTATCTTCCACATCTTTTAACTCTGATATCTCCTTTCATTTTCATAGCATTTAGAATAATTTGTAATGATCTATTTGTTCATCTCTCTCACTGAATTAGAACCTGACGTTGAGTAGCACCAAGTACATTTTGTTCACTTCTATACCCTCAACACCCAACAAAGTACTTGATTTGTAGTAGTAAAAGAAACTTGTTGAATCACTGAACAAAAAGCACACAACCTTGAATGAATGGAATGCCTTCATTTTCTATCAGTAAATAAATGCACCATGATGCTTTGATATATAGCAAAGATATCTTTGATTCCCCTTATTACTGACCAGAAGGATCAAGTGATTGATAGGCCTAAGTGGATAGATAGCTGGGTGGTTTGAGAAAATGCTCAACAGTAAATTAGTTGTCTGCATATAGGTACATACCATACTTTAGTTCAAAAACTAGGATATCAATTAAAGGCAAATTTGTGCCTAAGATGCAGCAAAAGGAATTCTAAGGGAGACTCTAGCCAGCTATGATATCGGTAAGAAACTTACTAATATCATCCTTCTTGCTCCTCAAGTGATATCTGTTAGGGGTTCCTTTATAGAAGGCTTCGACCTGCTGTGCAATAGGTACATATGTAGAAGCTGTTTCATCAAATTTTCTTTTCTTTCCTTGGGACAGGTTGAAAGGTTTTATAATGGTGCATCCCTTAGTCACTCGGGCCTGTAAAGAAAGAAGTTGTTCCCCAAATGAAACGTTATAGAAGCTCAGATGTACCACAAGTCACATATTCAGCAGAGAATCAAAAGGAAAAGAGCTTGTGTAAAACCTTAAGAATTATTACTCTTAAATCTGTCAGTCTTTGAGCACAGATTACCAGTCTATTCCCATCTTTAAAAAAAATAAAATAATCTAGCACTTAGCAAATTGTTCTACAATAGTACATAAAGTGATCTTTTACAAGTATATTAATGTTTTAAAGCAATCAAGAGCAAATCTTCTTAGAATTAGAAGGAACCAAAAATGCTTAAAAGTACTCTATCCCTAATCCATTTTTTAAAAACTGATTAGGGCCGAAACCGGTTTGGCTCAGTGGATAGAGCGTCGACCTGCGGACTGAAAGGTCCCAGGTTCGATTCCGGTCAGGGGCATGTACCTGGGTTGCGGGCACATCCCCAGTAGGAGATGTGCAGGAGGCAGCTGATCGATGTTTCTCTCTCATCGATGTTTCTAACTCTCTATCTCTCTCCCTTCCTCTCTGTAAAAAATCAATAAAATATATTTTAAAAAAACTGATTAGGATTCTGGGAGTGATCAGGTCAAGTGTGTAAAAGTCTGAATCAGACTCTTATACACCCTTCCCAAAAACTGAGTGAAGAAGCCTCCTCCTTGGGACACTGATTTTGATTAAATTGGTTTCTGACTGAAAACAACACTTTTCCAGAACCTACATCTCAAAGAAAGAACACACCCAGGGTTTAAGACTGAAAGACCGACCTCAACAAATGATGATGATGACTGAAATTGCAAGTAGCGATTCTTAGAATTTTTATTTAGGATGGTTAGTTTTTGTTAGTGCTCCAGTAACAACACTGCATAGGACTGGAGTGGTCTGCTCCAAAGCCATTTTTCCCATAAATGGTATTATATTTTGTACACAGCTTTGCAAACAAAACCTTTTCAAGAATTTTGTAACAGCACAGGCTGTAACAAGCCTGTACTTATGATTTGCCACCCATAATTCTATGTGCTTTGTGTATATTATCAATTCAGTTTGCACAGCAACTTGGCAAGATGGTTCCCAGAGACAGTAATTTATCCAAGATCACAGAGCTAACAGGAGGCAAAGTGAGAATTCAGATCTTAATTCAATTATATTATTGTAAATGGTGACCACAAATGTTACAGCTAAAGTCCTCACTAAATCAGTAAGAAGAATATTCACTTAGTCCATCAACTTACAGGAGATGGAGGATGCTTTCGCAGTTCTGATGTAAAGTTCACTTCCTTATACTCTTCCTGGTTCTTAGGATGTTGTTTGATTCGCTCATCTGTGCGAAAGTGGAAGTTGACTGATTTGGTTACCTGGCTCACTGTTTTCTTCACAGGTTGTCCTGAGTGAGGAGCAGAGCAAAACACTCAGGTTACACAGAGAACATTAGTAAATCTCCCTTTATCCAGTCTTTTTGGTCTTTCTATTACCATGGATCTAACTTTGTTCACTCTTTACATGTAACCCAATATTTGAAACAGTCGTAAGGACACTAATGTATGTGCCTTATTCAGTAAGTTGAGTACTGTTGGAGGTGAGGCCCTTTGGTCAGATGCCAACTGTTAAAGAGGTAGGACAGGAAGAAAAATCCCATCTCCCAGGTGTGGCCATAGGTCTGAAGATAATGTGTAGCTGGAATATTTTTGATAGACAAAGATCTCAACTGACTTTAAAACCACACTTAACTAGCCCTGCTGGTGTGGTCCAGTGGTTGAGTGGCTACCCATGCACCACAAAGTCACTGGTTGATTCCTGGTCAGGGTACATGCTCAGGCTACAGGCTTGATCTGAGGTGGGGGCCATGCAGGAGGCAGCCAATCAATGTTTCTATCTCTCTCTTTCTCTTCTCTCTCTCTGTAAAAAGCAATAAAAATATATTTTTCAAAAAGGCACTCTTAACTAAACATCTCTAAGAAGGAAACACTATAAACTCCAGGGGTGCTTCCTTCAACCCAGTGAGCAGGGCTTTATAGCTTCAACTCCACCAATAAACATGCAAGAGCAAAGCAAAGCTCTGATCCTTGAGTTCCCTCAGTCATGCTTTTCCTCCATAGCCACAAGTGAAATCATTCCACTTCCTCTTCCTCTACCAAGGATAAAATGGGACAACAACTGGCCTGCCCTATTGCTTTATCTCCTGTCTTAATCCTAGTCCCTCTTTTTCTACTATAAACAAAAAGAATTAGTAGGAAAAAGGAGGGGGAAATCAATTCTACTTGAAGAAATGAAGGCATGGGAAAAGGTCTCAAAAGATAGGTTTGCCCTAACCAGTTTGGCTCAGTGGATAGAGCGTCAGCCTGCGGACTCAAGGGCCCAGGTTCGATTCTGGTCAAGGGCATGTACCTTGGTTGCGTGCACATCCCCAGTAGGGTGTGTGCAGGAGGCAGCTGATCGATGTTTCTCTCTCATCAATGTTTCTAACTCTCTATCCCTCTCCCTTCCTCTCGGTAAAAAAAATCAATAAAATATATAAAAAATAAAAAGCTGGGTGTGACTTCTACAGTTAGAGAAGGAACAGCATGCTATAAGAAAGGGTCAATGTATGTAACATGTTATAGGGAATAGTCACAGGGATGGTCCAGCCTTCTAAATAAACGTTATTTTATGCCAACTAAGGCTAAGGAAGACAGAGACTTCAAAACACCCTACCAAGATTATGAGAAGCACCCCCTCATAAATCAGTCTCAACCAAAGCCAAGCTGACCTGCTCCAGCAAGAGCAAATTTCTTGAATTCTTCATTCTTTTTCCGCATCTCCATCACCTCCTGCTGCATTTTCATGCTCTTCTCCAACTCTTGCTCCTCAGTACTTTTTAGAAGTTTCTGTCTAAAGGGCAAATCAATAAAGGAGATAAGAGAGGAGAAGAGAAAGAGGATCAATGGTTCAAAATAATCTAAAGGCATTATATAGATTAGATATTAAACCTGTGAAACAATAATTACCCAAATAAAAACTTAATTAGATAACCTATGGAAAAAATAATCCAGATGCACAATTTATACCTTAATACTGAACAAATTTTCAGAAAATAGCTAAAACAGACAAGATGTTCAAAAAGATCCACAAATTGGACTATGTCATGATTAGCTTTTTGCCACCAGAAAAGCTAAAATTAAAATGCCACTAGAATGGGAAAAATCTTTCAACAAATATGGCCAAAGGTTAATAATATATACAGAACATATACTGTGATAAAGAGAATAGACTTAGGAGTAAAGCCAGAGAGTTCAAATCTCAGCCCTATCATTTCATTTTCTGCCTATGTGATCCTGAGAAAATGATCTAACCTCTCAGAGCCTAAGGTGTCTCCACTGTAAAATGAGGAATATACTCTTCACAGAATGTTTGTGAGTACCTGACACATAGTAAACATTCCAGTTAGAGTAGCCATTCTTAGTAACAAACAAAAAAGGAAACAGAAAATTCACCCAAGAGGAAATATCAAAAAGATGTTACAATAACAGTAATACAATGTTGTTATACAATGCAATCAGGTAAATACAAATTAAAATAATTAAATGCCATCAACAATATAGCAATTAAATGTGGAACATTTTTTATTGATATTTAGGGGTGGGGAAGGAAAGGAAGAGAAAGAGAGCAAGAGAGAATATCAATGTGAGAGAGAAGCATCGATCTGTTGCCTCCCACATGCACCCTGATGGGGGTTCACCTTGACAGGGAATCGAACAGGCACCTTTTGGTGCACGGGACGACACTCAATCAACTGAGTCGCACAGGGCAGGGCAGGAACTATTTTTTTAAAATATATTTTTAGTGATTTCAGAGAGAGAGGGAGAGGGAGAGGGAGACAGAAACATCAATGATGAGAGAGAATCATGATTGGCTGCCTCCTGCACGCCCCCTACTGAGGATTGAGCCCACAACCCAGACATGTGCCTTTGGCCGGAATCAAACCTGGAAGCCCTCACTCAGTAGGCCAATGCTCTAGCCATTGAGCTAAACTGGCTATGGTGGCAGGAACATTTTTTAAAGTAAAAACATTCAATGCAGATGAGACAAGGAAATAATAATATTCAAAATTGATGGCACTGTAAATTTATATATTCTTTTCTAAAATAAAATTGGCTATATGAATAACCATAAAACTAGTAATTGAGATTACTCTAAAGAAAAAGCTCTGCCTATAAAGATGTTCACTAACTATTTATAATAATAAAAAATTAGAAACTACATTTTCAACAGAAAATGTTTAAATATAATGAGAATATTAACAATCTACCAAAAGAGGTAAATGTAAAGATTTTATAGTAGTACAGAAAAATAAATAAATCAAAGTCTCTTAGTGTGTGAATAAAGCAAACCCAAAGATTGTTTACATACTGATTGGGAAAATGGGTATTTTACTTGAATAAAATTAGAAGGGAGCTTGGTGAAATAAAAACATTCAAGTTGGATAGTAAGAACCTTTACTTTTTCATTTTATATTTCTATCAATTTGCTTTAATAATATATTTTTCCCAATGTTTAAGAGTTGGGAACCCACCGGGTTATAAAACAATTCACCACACCGTGGTTATAGCCTCAGGCATTTCCCAAGCTCCACGTACAACAAATAGACTGGAGATGTACCCATTTGCAATTTTCTTCTATTGACTCTGTTTAAAATTCAGGAAAGCAGCCGAAACCGGTTTGGCTCAGTGGATAGAGGTCGGCCTGCGGACTGAAAGGTCCCAGGTTCGGTTCCGGTCAGGGGCATGTGCCTGGGTTGCGGCACATCCCCAGTAGGAGATGTGCATGAGGCAGCTGGTTGATGTTTCTAACTCTCTATCTCTCTCCTTCCTCTCTGTAAAAAATCAATAAAATATATTTTTTTAAAAAAAGGAAGGAAAGGTAAAAAAAAAAAAAATTCAGGAAAGCAGCATACCTTACAGGTGGCATACCAGGCATAGTACGTCTCTCCTTGGCTTTCTCTGGGGAAGACTCATTCTTTCCAGAAGTATCTTGACAAGGAGCAATGCCATCTTTCTCTTCTGACTTCTTTTGATTAGAACTTGAGTTCAAAAGAACAAAAATATCCTCTTAATTGCCTAAATTATACCCTGCTCTAGCCTCCTCCCCAAATCTATCGCATATGACTTTAATTTTCACTCTCTAAGACAGCGGTTCTCAACCTGTGGGTCGAGACCCCTTTGGGGGGTCAAACGACCCTTTCACAGGGGTCGCCTAAGACCATTGGAAAACACATATATAATTACATATTGTTTTTGTGATTAATCACTATGCTTTAATTATGTTCAATTTGTAACAATGAAATTGGGAGTCACCACAACATGAGGAAATGTATTAAAGGGTCACGGCATTAGGAAGGTTGAGAACCACTACTCTAAGACAACAAGCATACTTCACCCACAAGATTCTTCTACTGGTAGGTAACTAGTGGTTATCAGATCATCTATAAGAGGTAAACTTTAAGAACACCAATAGAAATCAATGTAAGAGTTGTCTGGTGAAGGTTCAAGAGGATAAGAGGGATTCCAACTGTTCATCATCCAATGCACAAATGCCAGACAGCTGGTTGCCTTCCAATATCGATTCCATTTTCTTTTTTATTAACAGAACACCAATTGTGTTTGGGGCGACGATGGAAAAAGGCAAAAGTATTGTACTTGCATCAATAGTCGCTATTGCATGTAGGAGGGATCCATGACACAGTTGGGCAACTAAGATAAAACAAGAGTTTCTGGAAAATATTTTACTTTTGTGATACAGGTGGTGCTGCCCCTATTCCTTTGCCTCCTCCTTCTCTTGATACCTAGTGATATAGCAGCTACCTTGTGGGAACAAGGCAACAAACACAAGGAAGAAGCTAAGAAACAGAGCAGTCATCTTGAGGAACAAGCAAGAAATAAAAGCTGACTCACAGAGATGCTGCCCTAGCATTGTTCAACCACTGAACCAAAGCCAACAGTAAACTTCTGTGAAGCAAATAAATAACTATTCTGTAAACCACTCTAGCTCAACAGGTAAAATGCATTCCTAACTGATAAAAATAACAGCACCATATACTCTGCTTGCTATTAACCTCAGGAGCAAACAGAGGTAAAACCTATGCCAACTGTCAAAAGCTGTGGCTACTTACACTTTCATTCTTTTGGAGGGTGGAGTTTCACTGATGATTACAGGAGTAGGACATCTCTTGGCTTTCGTTTTCACATGGTGTTTTTCTTTCTGTGCCAAAGCTTTCTGAGCAGAGAGTCTAACAGATCGTCTATGGTAAAGGAATTGACAAAATTTACCTGAAATGAATTTATCTTCTACAGATATGTAAATGTTCTCAGAAATGTGAAAGTATGTCAAACTACAAAGAGCTATAAAAAGTTTAGTGGTATTATTTCAACTCTAAACGTCTAATCTCTTGTTTTACTGATAGTTATAAAAATTTCATCATAAATATTAGTACTTAAATGCATTTGTACTTGTGAATTAGACCTCAGTAAAGCTGAGATTTTTTTAAGGCACTGGCAATCACCTAGCAGAATTCTTTCTTTCATAAGTGAGACAAGTAAAACAAGATGAAGTGACTTGACCAATCCTGTTACATAACTAACTGCTGTCAGAATTGAAATTAGAGATCAGAGCTTCTGGAGACTGACCATAGTATTTATTTTCTCCTTTTACTTATAGCCACACAGTTAAAATATAACACATACCCAAAAATGCACAAAACAAAAATTAAGTTAAAAGATTACAAAATGAAATCTCATGAAATCATGACCTAACCTAAGAAACAGAACACTGGAAGCAGCTATCTTGACTTGTCGTATAGTAATCGTTACTTTTTCTTTATCATTTTACCATATAAGATTGGTACATTAAGCTGTAAGATTACTGGGTCATAGGACATTGGTTGTAACAACTCAAGTCATTTTTCCAAAGTGCTTGAATCAATTTATGCTTACACTGGCAAGTTTATAAGAGTCTACATCCACCTAAATATTAGGTATTATCAGATGATTTAATTATAGCCATATTAAATGATTTGTAGAACTTTACTGTGGTTTTATTTTGCTTTTCCCTAATTACCAGTGGACAGAGCAACTTTTCACATGTTTATTGGCCATTTGGTTAACCTTTTTCATAAAATGCTAAGTAGTTCAAGTCTCTTGCTTGCTTTCTGTGGATTGTCAATCCTTTTCTAATTGATTAGTAGAGACTCTTTGCATACTACAAATGCGTTGTTTGTAAATATTATGTTACAAGTATCTTTTCCCACTATAGGGGTTGGCTTTTTTACTCTTTATAGTATCATTTAGTTAACAGTGCTCAAAATACATCAACCCCTTCCCCCATTATGGTCAGTGCTTTTCTATGTGTATCGTATTCAAGAAAATCTATCCCTATACTAAGCTCATAACTATATTCTCCTATATTTCCTTATATAAGCTCATCACTATATTTTCCTATATTGCCTTATATGAGTTTTAGCTTTCACATTTAGATCTGTAAGCTACATAGAACTGACCGTTTTATATGCAGTGAGGTAGAGACCAAGTCTCATTTTTATTCTACTTGGATATCCACTATCCAAGTACTTAATTAAGGGAACTTAAAAAAGGAAAAAAAAAAAACAAAACCACTTTCCCCACAGTTCTGCAGTACTTTCTTTGTCATATACCATGCCCATACATGGGAAACTGAGTTCCTATTCTATTTCACTGGTCTCACTGGTAAAGTAACACCTCCATGGAAAAAATATTATTACAGACTTGTTGATTCTTAACTTCTCTGTCAAAGTAGTTTTGGCCATCTTTCAGCCTATCCATCTAAACCATCATATATAATAAAAGGCTAATATGCAAATTGTCCCCTCAGGAGTTCGACCGACCGGGAGTTCAACTGCTCGCTATGACACGCACTGACCACCGGGGGCGGCATGGAACAAAGGAAGGCCTCAGCCAACAGCGGGCAGCCATGGGAAGGAAGGCCCTGATTGCCAGCCAGGCCTAGGGACCCTACCCGTACACAAATTTCGTGCACCAGGTCTCTAGTGTGAAATAAAATAATAGGGAATTTGTATGATTGTCTACACCAGTGGTTCTCAACCTTCCTAATGCCATGACCCTTGTAATACAGTTCCCATGTTGTGGTGACCCCCAATTTCATTGTTACAAATTGAACATAATTAAAGCATAGGGATTAATCACAAAAACAATATGTAATTATATATGTGTTTTCTGATGGGTCTTAGGCGACCCCTGTGAAAGGGTCGTTCGACCCCCAAAGGGGTCGCGACTCACAGGTTGAGAACCACTGGTCTACACCATTCTATTTCATATGCTGTTCCTTTCTAGATTGGGCATCTCTGACTAAGTTAAATCTAAGATCTGAGATAATGGCACTAACATTTTACCTCTTATTATGCATTTCCTTTTTTTATTATCCTCACCTGAGGATATTTTTTCCAATGATTTTTAGAGAGAGTGGAAGGGAAGGAGGGTAGGGAGGAAGAGGGAGAAAGAGAGAGACATCAATGTGAGAGAGACACATCAACTGGTTATGTCCCACACACTCTCCAACTGGGGCCGGGGACCGAGCCTGCAACCCAGGTATGTGCCCTTGATGGGAAATTGAACCTGAGACCCGTAGGTGTATGGGCCAACAATCTAACCACTGAGCAATAGCAGCCA